CATACCTCTTGTCCCATCCACGCGCGCTACTTGCCTCGCCCGTCTCATTCTTCTCGACTTAATCACGCTGACATTATTTGGGCAGGAGTACAAATTTTGAAGATCCTAATGCTTGTAAGAGGACTGAAAAAGTAAGAATGTCATATGGGAAAACCAACGAATATCTTATAAAATTTCTGGACTCCGTTCTCGTATGGAACGAATTAACTGCACAGAAAACTGGATAATTTCTTGTTTATTTTCAGGCATATAATTTGTTTCTTACTACTCTAAATTAATCAATAGATGACTGCCAGTCATTTTGTGAACTTCATGTGAAATTCATGTTTGAATGATGAGTTTGTTATTGTGAAATATACAATTTAGATAGAGTGGCGTGGTTCAGAATTGCGGCGTTATTCATGAAACATCAATTTTACATAAACTGGTGGTCGGGAAGATAGGGAACAATGTTTATGACAGGCCCATTCTAAAATTCATATTTAAACACGATAGGAGTTAGGTACGTTTCTTTAAAATCGTAAGTCTAGAGAAGAAAAGACTAACAGAAATGTTTAATGTTTTCGGTAAGTTACATAAATTGTTATAACATTAGCTACAGAGTAGTTTCAAATTATGTCACAGACACACATCTACAAAACTGTGTATGTCAAGGAAAGTCATGCAATGCTCGTACTTACGTGTGTTACTTGTTTCTGTTCATGACAGTTCTGACTTCTAAAGAAAAAGAAAATTTTTATTTCAATTTTTAATTGAATACTTAAAGCAGTCAATATTTCAGTTTCTTCCAAAATGTTGTTCCTCGCCATTAGGGCTGTGATAGTGGAGACATTACTTTCTATAAGAATACATCGCGTAAGATTTCATAAAACGGTAATCATCGTATAACACAATTGGTAAGATTTATAGCGTTTCTGTAATTCGAATGATTTCTAACAACTTGCCGGAACATGTCTTGTCACTGGACAATCGGCGTATGAACAAAATTATATCTATCTCAATACTTACGTTATTACCTGCTAGTTTTAAATATATTATTTGAGATCTAAAAATTATTTAATAAGATGACGTAATTTCTTTGTTAATTTTGTTTGTTTTTGAAATGAACAATTCTAAAATAACATACTTTGACACAACATAAACCTATTACATAAATGAACTTCCAGACGTCAAAGTTAATTCTGTCTGACATATAGACTGCAAATCTAAGCAGGTAGACGTCAGCAGATGCAGAATTCACGGATTCTTAAGTGGTAACATAAACGCTATTATTTAGCTTTCAAGGAAAACGAAAATATACGTTTCTACATATTTCTTCGTCTTTGCAGTGTAAACTCACTAAGCTTATATGAAGCTGCAAATCCTGTTGGAATACGTCGCTTGGTACAAAGGTGTTTGGTATAAAGATTTCCGTCTTCTGGGTTGTTGCGCTGTGTAGTCTGGTCGATGTTAACCAACGTTTCAGAGGTCATACTGCCTCCGTCATCAGGGATCGCCCTGATGACGGAGGCAGTATGACCTCTGAAACGTTGGTTAACATCGACCAGACTACACAGCGCAACAACCCAGAAGACGGAAATCTTCATACTCACCGCTGTGAGAACCTCAAGTCTTACGTGTTTGGTATAATTCAGCAAATTCAAATGTGTGTAAATACAATGCTATGCCGTCATGCAGTGAACCACATATATGCTATCTGATACAACTAGACTTGCGTTTTAGTGATGCTTTATTAAAAATGTATTTTATTTCTTACTAAAATTTACATGTTGTTTACTACCCGTACTGTTTGGTTACTATTTTAAAATCTTCCTGTTAAATGGGTGGAGGATGTTTGAGTGTGTGATTTTGTGTTAAGCAAATATGAACACCTCCGTGCTATTTTAGATTTCAAAAATCGTTTGAAGTCGACGCCAAATTGGTGCGCTTTTATAACAAACAAGTGAAGACAACATCAAATTGAAATTTTAATCCCATACAATTGCGTACATCATTTATATTTTAATCATAAATACCTTTAAAAAGATGCGCTTTGTCATATTTCATATTTTAGATACACCGCCTCAAGCGAGCAGCCGGCCAAATACAAGCATAATAATAATTACGTTAAAAAGAAGTAGCCTCAGTGTAGTTCAGGTTAATAGTCATTATAATTGAACTGTCACTTTAGATAACTGATATTCGTACAAAAACAACAGCCAATAATACTAGGATGCTTTTATGATTAATCCATAATTAACTTGATATCACTTCTACAGAGATACAGCGTCCGTTTCCTGAGCTATATGCCTGATCTGAAAATCGAAAAAAAAATATTACCATTATGAAGGGAATGCACGAATGTCACTGTGTGGGCTTTTGCTGTTGGGACTGTGACTCTGTTTTCTTCAGTACCTAGGTACGTACAATGCGTTCAGGCAACGGTCTGTTGAAGTATGTTCAAGCCATGCGACAGCCATGATGGACGCTGTGTTCAGAAATGCTACTCCCGAGCTGTTCTTTGTCACACAAAATGGCATCCACTTAAAGCTAAGAACATTTATTTCTGTAGGATATTCGAGGTTCTCACGGCGCTAAACGTGTTTCGGTGGTCTTTCTGATTTTTGACGCTGCATGGACTAGTAGGTTGGTATCAATGTTTTGGAGAATCATACTGCCTCTTTCTTCAGGGCTGAGTCTTTGGAGGGGAATTCTTCTTGAAAATGTACAGAACGCTCAGCAAGTTAAGAAGTCATATTTTATGGAACACCATGTTTATAACAGTCTGTCACCGGTTCCTGGCTGAGCCATGAGACTCCAATATGCACCCTTCAAAACTATTTCTCAAAGATCCATTTTAATATTATCGTTTCACTCTTGGTGTCATCTCTTCCATTCAGGCAGAAGACCGCCATTTACTTTTGATTTCTATTAATTGTTATTTAGATATTTGGTAACAAGATTTTAAATCGTTAATGGTTGTGCTATTTCGTAAGTGTTTATACGAGGTGCGATCAGAAAGTTTCAAGACTGTGTCAATAGAGGGCGAACCGGATGTAGTACGAGCTTCTGCCGCTAAGGGGTTGGGCCTACATTCATAGTGAATCAGTGTGCCAGCCGACATCATCGAATTAGCATTTGTTTCTTAGTTACGGGCGTTTTGGTAGTGCATTACACCGACCCTCCTGCGATTTCGGAATGGAGTGTGCATCAAATTTTGCCAAAGATTCGCCAAAACGGCCACGGAAACCTATGAAATGCTAAAGCAAGCATTTGGGGAGTCCGCAATGGGTCGTGCACAAACTTTTGTGTGGCATTCACGTTTTAAAAATGGCCGAACCTCTGTCGATGATGACGAGCGTTCTGGACGACCATCTTCGAGCACAACGCCCGAAAATGTTACCAAGATTCGGCAGGCCATTCACGAAGAGCGACGTCGTACCATGAACGACTTGTGCGACATTGTTGGGACCTGTCAGCTGATTCTAAAGGAAGAACTCCACATGCGACGCATCCTGTCTGAGGACCAGAAGCAGAATCGACTTCTCGTTTGTCAGGAGCTAAAAGATCTTGCAAGAACCGACCCCAACTTCCTTCCTAAGCTCCGTGTGACTTCTTCCTCTTCCCAAAGATGAAAATTCAGCTAAAGGGAAGGAGATTTGAGACGATAGAAGAGATTCAGGCAGAATCGCAGATGGTGCTTGACAGGCTGACAAAGAAAATATGTAGTTAATATTATTTTGAATTATCAGTAATTTTGTTACTATTTTACATTATTTAATCAGTTCAGAAAATTATCGGAATGACATACTTTATTCATTTGTGGTTTGTTAAATGACGTTGTTAGTAGCCTAAACCACACACCGTTGGCGTTGGGTTGATGTAATTTCTTCTCGTGCGATATTTTTCTCGAACAATTTAGTAGTAAAGAATACGCATATGACAGTTGTTTTGTTGTCTTCTTTTGTGTATGTTCTTTTATAATTCTCATGTTTCTTTAGTTTCTCCTTACACTCCACCTTCTCCTTATGTCATTATTCAAATTTTTTATAGGTCTCCTCCCTCGTTTATCATCCTCTCGCATTTCGCTTGTTCTGACCTGCAAAATTTTGGGTTCAGGAAAATATGTGCTTTTGGCATGAACTTTTTATTTATGTGCCTGTACATCTTACCCCAAAATATTTAAACTAGTTGGTAGCTGAATGACACTTGTATGAACATCGTGACTGTAAACGTTACCCAACCTTTTACCTGTTAATGTACTATCATCGTAATTATCATGGCTACCAAGAAACCGTTAAGTTGGGCATGACAAAATAGCGCCAGGTTTGAATGATGTGTGGTAAAATTTGCATATTTTTATGTTAATTTCACACTGTAAAACAATATGGCAATTACACAGAATGTGACCTACCTTCTTGACGGTAATAATTGATGAACTGTTGAAGGTAAGCAAACGTTTCAAGATAATAAACAGCTATAAACTCTCGATTAGCTGTTCGTTGTATTCTTATTAACTAATACAAGAGCATTACTGAATATCTTTAAGGTTATAACAAATATTGCTTTACCGGAATCTCAATTTGTGGAAATGCGCAGAATTTAATCACAAATTTCTGAAATTATTTTTGGTAATTTAAAGTTCTCGCTAGCCTCACCGCATGAAGCATGTCCAGGAAAATAGAAGCACAAATTTTCTCAGAGATATTATTTTTACAACTACAGTTACCGTTAAGAATTTAATGTCGGTGGTTATAACCACAGTAATACTTGAAGCAATAATGCAAGACATAAAGCTGTTCAAAACAACTCCTATATTGCTCAGCTTTATCACCACACTAATGTCGTTCACATCTGCGTTTCTTTCTCCACAGTGACATAAAACTATTATTTGGAACCAGCGTCTCATTGCCACAAGTGCATTCTATCCTATTCCTTGACAGTTGATCTACACCAACACCACTTATAGTAAGGGCCGGATTACTTGCATGTTCTTGGCGTGGGGGAGAGACAAGGTGATAAGCACTGCGCGCGCACCTCCAAGCTTTTCCTATCCGTTCTAACCAGCCGTTCCGTGTACCGACCAGGCCGTGCCGAGTGCAACTATCCACAGCACTAGCGAGCTCAGCTAGCAAGTAATCTGGTTTCTACTGTACGTCAACTTGCCTACTGCAGCTCCAACCTTGATCCGGTCGGTGGCTTCCTTTCAATATATTCCATTTTACTTGTGTACTTGTTTTCACCGGTCCTATGGAACATGAGGTAAGCGTACAGTTTGGACTATAATGAGAGAATCCTTTTCGATAATTCAGCAGACGGCGTGCGAATTTCATTGAAATGCCTTAAATACATGTTATAGTTCCTAAATGTAATTCGGATTAACGACGTAATATTAATTAAATTCTAACCAAAGAACTATTCCAACCTGATCTGTCTCAGTAAAAGCTATGCTGCCTTAGACCTACTATAACTACATTGCTGTAGAATACTAAAACTTTAAACAAAATAATATTCTTTTCTAATTTAAACCAACATAACCTAACAAAAATGAAAGTGAACTTAAAAAGCAACGTAACGTAATAAAAGACCAAAACACAAATATAACCCAATGAAAGACAAACGCTCATAATATAAGTATGGATCTTAATTCTCATTGATTTTTTTAATTTCGTGCAGAAATATGAAATTGTACCATAAAAATAAATGTATACATATAGGCATGCTTTACATATTTCAGTTTTTAAGTATCTAGGTGAAATGAAAGAATTCAGTTTTGTGCTGCAAATGAAACTAGGTTACAGTTAGGTCTAATACAAGCTTAAAAAATTATGAAATATTTGCTGGTTATAAAATGCAGGGATGCTGATTTGTCCGATGACAAGGAAAACGAAATGCTACCAAATAAAAGAAAAGTGGGTAAAAATGGCTTACAGGCGAAATAAATGTAGTAGAAATTTTGTAAATGAAATTGCTGTAACCGAAATGACGCATGAGTAAAATGGATATGGGTAGTGTTCTGACACGCTTGCATTCGACACACTCAGTTCATGAGGGACCATTAGCAGTGTAATGTTTAACATGTTAACCACAGCAATCAAATGCACTCACCACTAATCCCAGCCTCCGCTTCAAAAACCACACAGCAATTATTAAATCAGCAACTCAATATAACATCACTGTTGATTACTACTGGAATTCAGATAAAAATATTGTTTACCTATTTGTAATTATACTAATCCGCGGATATGTGAAGTTAAAGTAGCTTAATCGTACCGTAAGGGGTGTCTGGTGTTATTTCAATGTAATGCTGTTTGCCTCTGGAATCGCTAGTTGATACTGTGTATGTGTTCGTTCCTGTAAATACGTGTTGACGGTCTCTTTTAGGATTTCCACTCGGTGAAACGTTTAAACCTACCTAACCTAACCTAACCTAACGTAACTTAACCTAACCTAACTTAACGTAACCTAACCTAACCTAAGCACTCGAGTTACTAGCCAAACTCGGGATTACCACAAGAAGCAGTCTTCCACTGGAATATATGACATAACAAATGAATTATAGAAATGTTGTCAGTAACACTTATAAAATATACTTTATAATGTTGTAACTATGTGTCTTGAGGAGCTAACATTCGCTTAGCTGGTCAAAATCATTCTTCGCCTTTTATGGATACGGAAGATTGTTTGCCGCTTTTAAAACATTCAGTCGCAGTCTCTTCTAAGCCAGTTAAATCTAGTCCTCAACCTCATAGTCTATATCTGTAAACATCCATTTTAATATTATCCCCCACGTGCATCTTTCAACTTGTCTCTTTCCTTCACATTTTTAGACTAAAATGTATGCATTTCGCGACACTTTACGGTGTGTTACATTCACCGCCAATCCGTTATCCTTAATTTGATCACCCCAATAATATTTTATGATGGGTAACCTGAAAATTATAGCGCTCCTAATTAAGCTTATGCAGTTTCTCCAGCCTCATGTTTCTATTTGCTTAGTCACGTTAAAATACTTCTGGCACATGAAACGAGTATGCAGCAAGTTTCTTCGTTAGTCAATGTAATTTCATGACAGAATTGTGTTATGCAGGTGTGCGATGACGCTTATAATGTAAATTCAGTATTTAATGTAATTTGTCACAGCTTCGTGATTGCTAATTAGTCCAGACTAACTTGAAATATAATTAACAGACCTAATATTTGACGAAAGAACAGGATGTTTCTTGGAAAACTGGTCAAGAAATCTCCTGCCTTTTCTCTTAGATGCATCTTATTATTTTAAATAATAAAATTTAGGCGACCCTGGTGGTTATTTACGTTGAGGTTTTCCAACTAAAAAATTGATAGGCAGTGTCGGACACTGCCGCAGTTATTTTCGTGAAAACGTCAATCGTGTATAGTATATTGAAATTAAACAAAATTCATAAATGTTCTTTTATATTATTTTTTCTTAACGAAAATATTAGTTAATAATTAATAGTTTAACTTTGGAATATTGTAAATATAATCATTTTTATAAATGATTATTTCTTAATTGGTACACATCCATACTTGACCCAGGCTCGTCAGATGCCACCTGAGTTGTCCGAGCGCGCTTATGTTGCCTATATTCGCGGCAGTACTGCGCGTTGGTTTTGGGTCCGGGCCCGGCGTTTTCGGTGGCATTCTCTTTGGAATGTTATGCTCTACGCATTCGTACCCGATTTTTGTAATTCTGGTTGTACTTTGCCCTCATATATCGCGACATTTTAAGAAAATCGGGAACTTTTCAAACTTTTTCAAATTAACAGCCTCGTATCTTTTTGAGTTTTTGAGATACATACTTGGAGGCCAGGATGAGTTGTAGCATATACACTCCTCTTTAAAACAACACTTGGTTCACTCGGATCGGATAATTAGTCTCTGAGATATGATCCCGTTTATGGACACGTATCGAATCCGTAAAGTCGAAAATCGTGGGTTCAATTTGCGCGTGCGCAGTTCACGACGTCCGGCCGCCACTGCTTTTCTCTTTGTGTACTACATATTCCGCTCTTCTTAAGTTCCTACTTAATGCCAAATATGTCACTCGGTGTGAGGTAGTCATTTATGGCTGTTTGTAGAACACTTTCGTAATCACACGGTCCCATTTCGACCAGAACTTTCGTGACTAATTTTGAAATAGCAATTAACAAAATTTATCCTTTTGACTAACAGTCATTTAAAGATGAGAGTAGAATCAACTTGGAAATCACCATGTATATTAAATGTACCCCAGAGAGTGGACACTTTCCAACATAATGTTGGCACAATGAGTCGTTGTCATAAACCATTAGAGACTCTCCAACATGTTTGTAATGCGAAACTATTTAATACCGGTGTTGAAACCTTTTTATTGTGATAGACATTTTGAAATTAAACAACTTTATGAAAGCTGTACGTTAGAAAAGTGGAATTTGAAAATTTTTCCACTGCGCAAACCCTTTTTTTTGCATTGGTATGTGATTAACATGGTATGTGAAATTTCAGTAGCGATATTCTATAAACCTATAGTCCTATATCACCAGTACAAGTGGCGTTATAATCTAAAACGTCTTTCTGAACCCTAATACGCACTGTATCATTAGATAGTCGTCGCAGCCCTTTTGAAGATCCACATGTTGGCAATCGGTCTTAAACATGTACGCACGTACGCACTAAGGGAGGCGTGCTAAGTCGGATTAGTCTCTCTACAGAGACGCCATCAAAAGAACTCTATCTCGTAATCACATTAACGTTTTCTTCGTCTGTGCAACTCGTTCGCATCAGAATGTGCTACGTGACGCACTATTTCGCGAGAGAGATGGTAGGTTCGTGCATAATTGGCAACCTCAATTTATAATGAAAAGACGGGAGTGAAAGTTTTGTTAATAAAGAAGCCTAATTTCTCCTCGCTTGCTATTAGAAATGGTAGGAACTGTCGGACTTGGAATGCATGTTAAGTAAACTTGCATATGTTCATGGAATCAGTATTACCGGATTTCTGGATTTTGCCTATTTTCTAGACAGCGGACTCTTGGAACAACACAACAACACATTGTTTCGGAAATTGGATCTGTTTTCGTTCTCAGGTGAAATGAAACTTGGAGAATATCCATTTCTACTATGTACGTAATTGCTGAAACGTTGTGGCGTTATAATAACAGTGGATTATAGATAAACGCATTAATGCTAATTGTAATGTGTCTTTATCGAAATCTTTGAGAATTAATATTCTGAGGGAGTTAATAAGAGGCAATAACGTATAAATGAAAGAAGGGAATTAGATAAAGAATAAAGACACAAATATTCTGGGTTTAATTTCAATAAACTCTGCAGAATACTTTTCAAAGAAGGGACGAATATAAAGTATTCGTCCCTTATTTTCCTGTCATCTCTTCTAACTCAGAAACACACTGAGAAATATCATCAGTAACTTTATTTGCACCACCAACATTCGGAGCACACCTAAAAGTTGCCTGTTGGTAGCAGCATATGTAGAATAGAAACATTCTGCTCTCTAGTGTAAATACTAAGAACGTAGTCTTTTATTATTAGCCTATACAGGGTGATTCAAAAGGTTAGGGCAAAACTGAAGGAGCGTATAGAGGGACTCAGGGAGAACAACTTTTGAATAGGAATCCATGTCCTCCGAATTTATCCTGAGTCAGTCGAGGCCATTGAAGGTAGAGAAGTCTGATAACATACCGCTGAAATAATCGTACTTTGCTATTCTCCTACCAGCTTAATTTTGTTTTTTATTAATATACAAGGATTACATTAGCAATCTTACAAACCAAGTACGATTATTTCAGCGGTTATCAGACTTTCCTACCTTCAATGGCCTCGACAGATTCAGGATAAATTCGGGGGACGTGGGTTCCTATTCTAAAGTTGTTCTCTCTGAGTCCCTCTATACGCTCCTTCAGTTTGGCCCTAACTTTTTGAATCACTCTGTATAGTAGATTACGTTGTATGTACATAGGTCTAATGTCTAATATAACGGGCGATGTCCGTCATGCTTCTGTTTATTTTTATTTATTATAATGAATGTTATGGTAACGCTACTAAGCGATTTTCTACCTGATGGAATGTTTACACGAATTTTTGTGTCTGTTGAACCGTTGGCATAGTAATCCTGTTAAGGGTTTGAAGGTCTTGTGACTTGTAATATTGAAAGTTTTTAAATTTTCCATGGAATAAAATGTCAGCAACCTTTAAACTTTTAATGGCGTACCAGTAGTAATACTATTTTCAAATAACAG